TAGTTGTTGTATTTGTTGTTTTGGTATATTTTATTATTTATTTTTTTATTTAACTATTTTTTTTATTTTATTTTTGTAACATTTGTTGTGTTTTTATTTTATTATTTTATTTTTTTTGAATTATTATTATTTTTTTAATATCTTGTTTATATGTATGTATATATATATTATTTGATTATTTTATTTATTTTCAATTAATTCTTTTTTATTTTATTTTGTAACATTTTGTTGTATTTCATTTAATTATTTTTATTATGTTTTATTTAATTATTCTTTATTTTAGATTTTGTTTTTATGTTATTATTTTTCATTTTTATTTAATTTTTTAAAATATTTTGTGGTATTTCATTTAATAATTTTATTTATTTTTATATTTTTTGTATTATTTTGTTGTTTCTTATTTAATTATTTTTAGTTATTTTTGTGCTTTTAATTGTGTGCGTTTAGATTTATTTACTGTGAAAAATAATGCTGTTTATCATCACCACCACAATGAGTTTTGCTTATATACAATAGCTTACCTGTATGAGTCAGAACAAGCAGTCCGTCTCCTTCTCCAGCCACTGGAGCTTTTGCCTGACTTTCAGTTTTTGCATAAAATGAACAAGCATTAGTTCTGATCCATATCTTCTGTAAATGATAACTCAGGTTTGTGTGTATTAGCTGAAAACACTGATCTGATTGTGTTCATGTTCCTCTGCATCCACTAATAATAGTCTGGCAGCTTGATAAGCAGGTGTTTGGGTTTTCTCAGTCTTTCACGTCTTTTCATTCCGCCTTTGCGTTGCGTCCCAGTGCTCAGTGTGTGACATATGGAGCCCACATCATCAACACTGCTACGTTTGACACTCAAAAGTGTGAATGATCTATTAAAGATCCCCCGTGACGTAAATGAAGTAATCACACCGACACTTTAACTTTGGGACACAGCATCAATAGAGCGGCTACGGCACGTCATTCTCATGTAGATTTGATTAGCCGCTAACAGTATTGATTATGTGGAGAGTGTGTATAATTGGTGTGTATAATAGGGAATGTGAGGGTCAGGAGGTTTGAGTCTGTCATCCATTAGGCTGTGGTGTCAGAGCTAATAAAGCAGTCTGTTTTTGGTTGTTATTATTGGTTCACATCAAAGAAAAGCTCATAACCGTTGCCAGGGTTTATAGGAAATGGTCGAGGAGCCCATCTGTGAATCTGGTGCCGTGACCCGGATCTCATTCTGGGCCAGATTACAGCTGATGTCCAGCTCATTTGACTCCATCTGTTTGCCTTTTTCACACTCATGATCGACACTGGGATGTCATTGAATTTGCACTGAGAAAGTTCATAGTGCCTGACGTTGCTGAGCTCGCATGGATCTGGTTCAATTAGGTAGATTTTATTTTTAAAAAATATATATTTTTGTGCTTTCATGTGCATTTAATTTTGTACATTTATGTGCATTTAATTTTATACATTTAATTTTGTGTATTTTATATTCATTTAATTGTGTGTGTTTAATTGTGTCTATGTGCATACATTTTTTTTACATTTATGTGCATCTAATTATGTGCATTTGTGTGCTTTTAAATTTGTGCCTGTAATTTATCGCATTTAATTTTGTGTGTTTAATTTTTGTTTATTGATTTTGTGCATTTAATTGTGTGATTTTAATTTTGGGTCTTTAATTTTTTGCATTTCATTTTGTGTGTTTAATTGCATTTAATTTTGTACATTTTTGTGCTTTTAATTTTTTGCCTTTATGTGCATTTAATTTTGTGTGTTTATATGCATTTTATTTTGTTTATTGATTTTTGTGCATTTAATTATGTGCATTTAATTTGTACAATTATTATTGTGTATTTAATTTTTCACATTTAATTATGTACATTTAAATTTTGTGTGTTTATGTGCATATAACTTTGTACATTTAATTTTTGTTTATTCATTTTTGTGCATTTAAAAATGTGCATTTCATTTTGTGCATTTATTTATGTGCATTTATTTTGCGCATTTATTTTGCGCATTTATTTATGTGCATGTATTTTGTGTATTTATTTGTGCATTTATTTTGTGTATTTATTTTGCGCATTTATTTATGTGCATGTATATTGTGCATTTATTTATGTGCATGTATTTTGTGTATTTATTTGTGCATTTATTTTGTGCATTTATTCATGTGCATTTATTTTGTGCATTTATTTATGTGCATTTAATTTTGTGTGTTTGTGCATTTAGCTTTGTGCATTTATGTGCATTTAATTGTGAGCATGTAATTTTATGCATTTAATTTTGTGTTTGTGCATTTATATGCATTTGATTGTGTGCATTTAATTTTGTGTGTTTAATTGTGTAAATTCAGCAGTTGAGTGAGAGTCGATATGAGGTTATGCTGTTCTTTGTGCTGACTTTGAATTTTGATATAAAAGGTAAGATGAATCACTTTTGAGATTAAAAGTGTGGGATTATATCTTCATAACCAGGAAGCTGAGATAGACTGATGTCATAGGATTATATGCAACATAAGGGAAAGTTGAAGATTTATGCTGAAAGCTTGCTTGTAACTGCAGGATAGTGATGTCAGGTTACACATAATTATATATTATATAATATATATATATATATATATATATACATAATACATAATTATTTAGATATTTATTATATATATGTTTTATGCTAATTTTGTTTGTTTTAATTATATCTATATATTTCATATTTATTTTTTAAAAGTCAAATAATAGCTAAGTTTTTACAAATTATAAACAAAAGCTTATGCTTACAATTGAAGGCAAAATTATTATTGTTTTAAGTTATTGAATAAATATGATTTATTAGCCCTTCTGTGAACTTTTAATTAAATTTCTAATATTTCTCTCATTTCTATTTTTGTTTTTATTCATTTGTATTGGACTCATTGGCACAGAAAGGCTGAACTGCAGGGCAGAGATGTGTTTGCTGATGTTATGAGTCAGTGCAGCACTAAAGCAGAAGCTTTAACGTGGAATGAGAGCTAGTAAAGCACGTTGAGTTGATTACTCCATGTTTACGAGAAGCTAGTCATCCGCATGCAGCATCAGCAGGCGGTCCGCTCACTCGTCTCTCTCATTGATCTGACAGCTGATCAAGCTTTTCCTTCTAACAGTTTCCTTCCTTTCCTTCACTCTTGTCTTCAGTGTTGAGACAGAATCATTCATGACATCTTTAATGTGTTTCCTAGAAAGCAGAGGGATTTAGATTTAATAATAACCGCATGCTGTGAATCATTTGGTAATTAGCAAAGAGTTGATAATTTATTATGCATTAATGCTATATTAATAGGCATTAGTTATTATTAATCTTCAGTTTTATATGAAGATAATCACTAAGGAGATTATCAGTGCAGACGTTTTCCTGGATTTCTCTTGTAAACACTGTATACAGACGTGGCAAAATTGCTGGAGCCCTTCCACTGAGGAAAGAAAAACCCACAGTGATCACTGAAATAACTTTAAAAAGGTAAAAATCAGTGTAAATAATCTAAAGAAAACCAGACGTTGCTTTGGATTTTAGTTTAACTTCTTAAACTCTGCTGTTATTTGGGGATTTCCGCCTGGATTTTGCCGCCCCAAATTTAAAAGCTTCACAAATCCACATGCAGAGGTGTAAATGCAAAAATTTGGTGTAATTTTAAAGAAAACCCTTTGAATTTTCATAAAACACTATTGAAAGTGTTTAAAATATCTGTATATGATGTCTGTGTTTTAATAAACACCTAATAAAAGAGGCACTTATTGTATTTTTTATAAACTCAAATTTGAAAGTGTACCTTTTAGGTTGTGTGTGGTCGAGCGTGCTGTAATTAATGTTGTTGGTTCCTGCGCATGTCTGTAATCATAGGAAAAAAGAAACATGTCTCCACCATAATCTATGCAGAAGTTATTGTGTTCCAGCTGATGAGAGGTGCTGTACAAGCCACAGGGAGCGATCATTGTTTCATATTTCACTATTCTTCTGTTTGATCAAACATAATTCACTGTGTTTGGAGCACGTCAGACATATAAAAGGATTACTTATGCACATCACCTCAAAAACAGAGGAGAATGGCCTTGAAGCGCACAGCATAGAGATGACAGCTGTCTCTGCTATCTGGGGCTGCTTATTGATCATAAATGTATTGTTTTCCCTTCTGCGCCATGGAAACACCGCGATTCATTCAGCAACTGTTTGATATGTGAATATAATTCAGTAAAAAGAATACTAGAACTGTATGAGCACCGGCAAGAGCTTTCATTTGAGCTATAACCTGTCATATATGAGTCATATGAAAATGAACCAATGTTCAATACCCAGCTTGGGTGTCCAAAATACTGTGTATTTAAGTGTAAATAACTTTTGTACAGTAGAATAAAAACCAAAGTGATGCATATGAGCATAAAATATAGATTCTACACTTTCAAACGAAACCACTTAAGGAGGTCTGGTGCAATGCTAGCCCTTTAAATCTGAAAGCAAAAGTCGATGACTAGTTAACAGAACTTAGGTCACAATTCACAGTATTTACAAGCTATTAACGAACACTACTAGCTTATTAAATGACTAATTAGCTGTTTATTAATAGTAAGGTAGATGCTGTGTTTAGGTTTTGCATTAGGGATGCAGAGTAACATCATACTTTAACTACTAATGAACAGTCAATAATAATAGAGCAGTCGTGAAGAGCACTGAACGATGACTAAAGAAGAAGTCAAACTGATTGTATGCAATCCAAGGGTACCTACAGTGTTATGAGCTGGTATATGATATGATATGTACATATGGTGAATGTATATGAGCTGGTGTTGTGCTGCTCTTGGCTGTACAGTGGTTTTGTCCCAGATCTGCAGTTCTCTGCAGCACAGACAGGTGGCGCTGTGCTCCGTCTGTTAGTCCCCTGAGAAACAGCTGACCTATAAAACCACATGCTCTCGCTCAATGTGCTGAGATCACAAAACACAACACACTGACCTGACCTCTCTCTCTCTCTCTCTCTCTCTTTACAGATATTTCCAGAATCTCCTTTTACACAGGTGAGTGACTTCATCAGAAAATGTGTGTGTGTGTGTGTGTGTGTGTGTGTGTGTGCGTGTGTTTACAGATTTACAGTAGCACAGACTATGTGATCAGAGATGTGTGAGGTCTACTGTCTGTATGATGTGCATTGAGGACGTCTGGGGACTTCTCTGACTGTTCGTTTGAGGAGGTCACTGTGGTTCAATTTTATTAATATTAATAATAATAATTACTATTATTATATTATTGTTATTATTATTTTCATTTATTAACGCTTTGCAAGGTCTCATTTGTTAATAATAACTGGATTTTAACTGTTATATATAATAACTTCAACTGTTTAAAGCTGCGGCACGATGGCTCAGTGGTTAGCACTGTCACCTCACAGCAAAAAGGTCGCTGGTTTGAGTCCCGCCTGGGTCATTTTCTGCATTTTTACAGACTTATTCCTCTATGTATAATTTCTTATATTATTTCCAACATTTAAAATGTCAATAAAAGTCTCTTTGTTAAGCTGTAGAGTTAAATTTCGACATCAAAAGTGGACAGAGCAGAGATCAACATCCCATAATGCAATTCACAGCTGCAAATAAACAGACACTGTTCATTAATTGATGTTTTTGCAGTGCAGTTAGGTGTCAGTGTTGTTTGGGTGGTGTTGTTATTTGCTATAGTTGTGAGTGTTTGATATTTTTGACTGCGCTGAGGTTTCTGTTCATTAGTTTGGGTCTCGCTGAGCTTGTAGAGGAAATGAGCTGAGGAGTCATTAGCTCCCAGTGCCTCCACATTAATATTTCTCATTAATATTCCTGTCAGTTTATGCATTCATATTCGTCAGCGCTCTTCTGTGTCCTGCAGATGAGCAGCTTCAGTGTTTCTGACAGCGGGAGTATCTTCACTGAATCTCTCCATACACTATATAATCAATCAATGCAGAGAGATAAAAGACCCGATCCAACATGTTATGAAGGGTTTATGGGGGATCAGGCCCAATAACTGTATTCATTAAATCTGATTAGATTGGCTAATTTAGGTGCACTTTTATTTCAATAAGTAATAATTGTATTTAATTTTTAAAGTTTTTAATTTTTTAAAGTAATTAAAGTTTTTACACATTTTACAAACGTTAAATCTTTCCAAAATCTGTTTTTGTTACATGTTTAAATCCTTTTACATTGGATTTTAATGTGGATAAAAATAATAGAAGGTTGTTGATAATATTATTAATAATGATGATAATAATAATAATAATAATAATTATTATTATTATTATTATTATCATCATCATTGTTATTTATAATAATAATAATTATTATTATTATTTGTTATTGTCTATTTATTATTATTATTAGTATTATTGTTATTTATTATTATTATAATTATTATTTTAGTTATTATTAGTATTATTAGTATTGTAATTGTTATTTATTATTATTATTATTATTATAACTGATGATAATAATAATAATTATTATAATAATTATAATACTAAAATAACAATACAATAATAATAATAATAATAATAAAATAATAATAATAATAATAATGATAATTAATTTTATTATTATATTTATTATTATGTTATTGTTGTAATTGTATTAATAATATTTGTATTTTATTTATTTATTATTATTTGTATTATCATTTATTATTATTAGTGTCAGGGTGTATTTTTAATAGCTTATTTATTTATCTTCTATGTTAGGCAGTTAGTAATGAGTAAGTTTTATATATGCAGCATCCACTGATGTGACTGTCTTGATGATAGATTGTCTTTCTAAAGCTTGATCTCTGGGGGTTTTCAGTGTGTGTGCGTGTCTGTGTGTGTGCGTTTGCTCTCTGGTGTCCTGCTGAGAGCCCCAGAGGAGGTGTGTATGTAGCAGCAGGCCGGATGTGGAGGGTTTGTATAGGAACAGCTCTGCTCCTCCTCCTTCCCAGAATCCCCTTTGTCTGTATTTGTGTTATTTGAGCAGATTTGGAGCACACGTGAGCGTCTGCATGAATGCCCATCGCTGGCTGCTGTCCTGCTCACTGCTGGAGCATTTAACATCCACACACACACACACACACACGTCTTTCTCTAAGAGACGAGAGACTGCTGTAAAAATAACTATGAGTTACCTAGAACATATGTAAATATGTACTATACACCACACATGCTGTACTATATTAATAAGTTATATTATGTTAGATTATGTTATTCCATTCTATTTCATTATTATATTATATTATATTATATTAAATTATATTATATTATATTATATTATATTATATTATATTATATTATATTATATTGTATTGTATTGTATTGTATTGTATTGTATTATATTATATTATATTATATATTTACATTATATTATATCTTATTGTATTATTATATTATTTATTATAATTAATTATATATTTATATTATATTATATATTATTGTATTATATGATATATTATATTATACTATATTAAATTATGTATTATTATATTATATTATACTATATTATACTAAATTATATTATATGTTATTATACTATATCATATTATATTATATTTTATTATATTTTTATATTATATTGTATGTTATTGTATTATATGATATATTTTATTATATGTTATTATATTATATTATATGTTATAATATTATATGTTATTAAATCATGTGTTATTATATTATATGATTTGTTATTGTATTATATTATATTATATTATATGTTAATATATTATATGTTATTATATTATTTATCAAATCCAAAATAAAAGTTTGTATTTACATAATGCATAATATTATGTACTCAATAATAATTTGCATAATTTATAATTCAACAAGTATGAATAATGTGTACATAAAATATAACTATATACTGTATATAAACATGCACAGTACTAATTATATTAATAATTTTAGCTGTAATTGTTTTAAATTTGAATAATGATATTAATAATTATAATAAATCCTAATGTATTATTATTTATTTTTATCTCTAAGCTTATAATTGTAAAAATTAAAATAATGATATTAAAAGTGGCAGCAGTATTAATAGTAATAATAGAAATAAATGGGTATTATGTATTATCTTAATATTAATAATAATGTTACACTTATTAGTTAACAGTAATATTAATTACATATTTCATTCAAGTTGTTGTTATTATCATTGCTACAAATATTGTAGAATTAATTTGATAGTAAAATCAACTCCCTGTTTAACTAGGCCAATACTATAAATCTATTGCTTGTGAAAAGCGTGTGGATGGCCCCTCAGAAGACAGCTGTCTATGTAGGCAGTAAAGGGAATGACAGTTCACCAGAGCTTCAGCATAAAGAAAACACATGCAGAGAAACTGAAAAGGGCGTTTTGGAGACACAGAGGCAGTAAAACGGCACAATCAGAGGTCACGCAGGTCACAGATGATTCATAGTCCTGCTAAACAGCCACAGTTGAAGGAAACCACATTTGCATATTTATAATCCTGAAATGGCTCCGCCCCCTGTAGCCTCTCCGCTGGTCTTTCCTCTCTGCATCAGCTCAGAAGGGCAGATTTGTTTGTTTGTGATTTTGTTGTAGCTCCGCCCCCTTTAGTGTCCACTCTGGCCTTTGCATATTCATGAATGTACTGTAGCTCCACCCCCTATGATCTCCACTCTGTCCTTTGCATATTGATGATTGTTTTGACCTTTTCTATCTCCATTAGCTCAGTAAAGCAATGTTATGTGTGTAATTTGAATATTCATGATCATGCCATAGCTCCGCCCCCTGTAGTCTCCGCCCCTGACTCCATTAGATCAGTGTGGCAAATTTAAGTGTGATATTTGCATATCAATGAGTGTACAGTAGCTCCGCCTCCATAGTGTCCTCTTTTGCATTTGCATATTCATAAATGTGCAGTAGCTCCACCCCTATAGTCTCGTCTCTGGCTTTTTCTGTCTTCATCAGCTCAGTAGGACAAATTTTCCTGTGATATTTGCATATTTGCAATTGTGATATAGCTCCACCCCTTGCATCCAATTTGGTCTTTCCTAACTATTTGCATATTTTTTAATCACACAGTAGCTCCGCCCCCTATACTCTCCACTTTGGCCTTTCCTGCGTGTATCAGGTCAGCAGGGCAGATTTGAGTGTGTTATTTGCATATTCATGTGTTTGCCATAGCTCCACCCCCCTGTAGCCTCTGCTCTGGCCTTTGGTGGCTCCATCAGCTCAGTGTCCTCCGAGCAGCAGAGCGACATAGGCACCATCTGTCTCCTCCAGGATAAACTCCAGCTCTTTCAGTGAAGCAGTGTTTCAGTGTGTTTGGGTCTGTGTGTGTGCTGTGGATTATCCCGTGTTTTGGGACACGCCGCCGGCTCTCATGAGGGTGTTTGAAAGCGGTGGGTGTTTGCTGACCCTCACCGCGGGTTCAGACAGACGCTCGGCCGCATACATGGAGAAAACACGCTGCAGTCCTTTCCCCTTATGCTGGGCCGCAGGTACATGACTGACCATCTGTTTACTGTAATGTGTTTGATTGTGTGTGTGTGTGTGTGTGTGTGTGTGTGTGTGTGTGTGTGTGTGTGTGTGTGTGTGTGTGTGTGTGTGTGTGTGTGTGTGTGTGTGTGCGTGTGTGCGTGTGTGCGTGTGTGCGTGTGTGCGTGTGTGTGTGTGTGTGTGTGTGTGTGATAGTTTGCTGTGCCATTCTTGCAGTCTTGTTTTGATGCTTTGCTTTATTTGATTTTTTTAAGCTTTATTTTTTATTATTATTATTTAGTATGTTTTATTTTATTAACAGAAGCTTTTTTAATTTTAGTTATTTTATTTTATGTTTTATTTTAATAACTGAAACTTTATTTAATTTTTGGTAATTTTATTTATTTATTATGTTTTATTTAAATTTTAATTAAATGTATTTATTATTTATTTCTTGTAATAAAAGAAGGTTTCGTTTAATTTTTGGTTATTTATTTTTTAAATGATTTTGAAAAAAAAATTATTGAAATTTTTTTATTTTTATTTTTTATTTTTAATTTTCATAACAGAAGCTTTATTTC